TATCCAGTATAAACGTTCCCTAGTGAAATGTTTGTTCTCAAGGGCCCGAAAAATATGCACGAGTGACACAGTGATGGATGAGTTTCGAAATATACATTCAGTTTTATTAGCTAATGGTTATCCGGAGAACTTTATCCCTTGTCACAGTAAAGAAAAACCACATCTCGAAAAGTCAGCTTCTGTACCAAAGAGAGCTATCTTTATTAACCTACCATTTAAGGATGACCAGATTATGCAGTTGACAGCTAACGCACATTCTACGCCGCCACATCTCTTTTCCTCACTTGCCGAACATTTTCGATCCCTGTACCTACGATTAAAGGACGAAATTCTGTGGACTCTACTTCAAACTGTATCTACAAGTTCACCTGCAGCTGCGGTGACACCTATATAGGTAGAACCAACAGAATGTTCCAATGTCGTCGGAAAGAACATGTTCCAAAATGGCTACTAAATCATATAGAAAATCCCAACGCGATTAATCTGAATAAAAATCCAGCATCATCCATTGCAAAGCACTTATCAATGTCAGTCAGGTCACAAAATCGATATTAATTAATGACTGTTTCACAATTATTTCACATAACTCTAATTCAAAGTTGGTTATTGAAGGTGATGGAAGCACTTTGGATTGATCACATACAGTCTAAACTGTGTGTACAAAAATCAATAGACTTCAACCTTCGCCTACCATGGACTACATGACCTATCTAAATATGATTCGTCATCAGTATGTACTTTTGTGTTTTTTTATTTAACTGAGTAATTGTCATGCCCTTTATTTTATTATTGTTAACCATGTTAGTTGTAAAGCGGTTGTAAAGAAACTACGAAATGACGATATCATCTCGCGAAATTTGTCTTCTAAATGCCTTATTCGAAAATGAAATTGTCGTGATTAGACTATCCATTTCAGAGAACGAAACATTGAAAAAGAAGCGTGAACCTAAGCTACAAATCTTCTGCAATACCTCAAACACGAATTCTGCTAGAATCTACTGTAACAATCGGCGAACACTACACTAGAAAACACCTTTACTTCTTTCAGTAATTCATAGGCTGACTTTCATTTGTGGTTACGTGAAACAGCCTCGTCGTCTAATTAACAACATTTTTTTTACATTTTAGATGTTCTAAGCTTTGCATTATTACGAGTTGTTCAGGGATTGATATCAGTTAGAGAACCATTGAAAGCCAGGGAATACTGGACAGCTGCTGTTTCATCCTAGTTTGGGTAAAAAATAACAAACCCTTACAAACCAAACTATAGAAAATTAATCTGATGCTCGCTAGTGACTTGCTACAGGATGGAGCTTCCTGGAGTTCTAGTGAGAAGTCGTGACCAGTGAGGTCCAATTAGATGTCACGTGTGTGGATGGATGTCCCATCAACGACAATGGTTGGGGTCTTGCTAAATCACGAATTGGTAGAAGTTAGAATTCATGGGCTGGCCATTGAATCAGGTCTCAGTGGCTGGATGGTATACGAGCCAGCTTGCCTTGTAACCGGAAGGTCCTGGGTTCGAACCCTGGTGGTGGGTGCTTACTGACGATGATTCTCAAACTAGGATGAAACAGTAGCTGTCCAGTACTCCCTGGTTTTCAATGATTCTCTAACTGATATCAATCCGTGATCAACTCGTAAAAACATGACAAACATTTACAAACCACACTATCGAAAATTTGCATTATTAATTTTTTTTTCCTGATAATACTCTGCCTACATGATTATTCATAAATTAGTTCCTTCTCACTTTTTTTATATCTTAATCACTCATTTTTTTCACTCACTTATTCCCTAAACGTTTCTTATCCTCTTTCTTTTTGAGCGATAACTATAAATTAGTCGAATTAAAGGCATAAACTTGTTTATTCTAAGAGCAATTGTTATGCCACTCACTAGACCAATTGACCAATTGAATATGAGGATGATAATAAGATAAGAATTCGTGACAGTTTCAATAATAATAATGATAATTATAATGAATATCAATAATACTGTTGCCCATATACTTACTGGTTGACTGTGGACAGACGCGTGTACATACAACTGTCAATACAGGAAATTTCTCATCCCATTGTATGTATTATTGAGGGAGTAATATCTCTCTATCTGTGGATCAATACTTCAGAGAGAAAATGTCTCTTAGATAATGAATGGGTGAAGTTTTCATGCTGTCAGTACTACTGCTGTGGAGTGTGTATTACTGACAAGACTTGTAAGTAGTATATAGATACAGATAGAAATTTGTATCTGTATCATCTGCAAGAATATCGAACAGCAGACAGATGGATTCAACGGAGAAGAGAAGAAATTAAATGACGCTTGTGAAACAACTTGGAAAACATGAAAGGGAAACAAAAGTAGTACAATATGGAAGATAAGTGCAAATTGTGTTTTCATCTTTTGATAGACATATTTTGAAAGAAGAGAAGTTCAGCGGCACTTCGTGTTCTCTTCTTTGTAATGTCCTTGTGGGTGTTTCCCACGATCTGAAAAAGACATATTTTGCTTAAGTTTGTACATTGACTTGCGAATAAATAACTCTCTTTCCAAAAATTCTTGTTTTTCACAGTTACATTTGATATCAGTGCCTTCGAACAATGAAGATCCCATGGCCTGGGGTTTTTGAAGAAAGAGACATGCAAGGCATCCAGAGCTCGATGGCGAAGATGGTTGTACCATGGAAAATTCTGAATGCTCAGGAGAAGGCAAAATACAGAGGCGTGGAGCGGGCATGTGGACAAGAGATCCGGAAGATATTGGTGGGACGATTACTGGCGGAGTTCGACAGCTCAACGGACAGACAGTTGGTAATGCAAAAGTTCCATTCGACGAGGCTTGGACAGTACAGAATAGTTCAGCTATAGCACTACATGCAGTTACACACAACCATACAATAGGATGGATGGGATAGGATGACAGACAGTTTTAAAATCTAATGTCACAGGGTGGAGGGAGAGATTGATAACAGAAGCTTTGTTTATCGAATCAACTGCAAATACATGTAATAGGAATGACTCATCACCTATCCCCGATATCTGGAAAATTCTATTACCCCAACTACGACAAATATGAGAAGACAAAGAAAACTATAAAACTCAAGTGTCAAAGTCGTGTGATTACAATTGATATGATTATGAACAATAAATTTTGCTTGAAACGTCATCTAGTAAATAATACTGTTTCATTACTGTGTGATATATCTAATAAACAAACTAATATGGAATTACTTACTACCAGAGTGCCCAAGTATTAAATTCATATTTCTTGTCATATAAGTAGTTATCTCTTCTCAGAAGCCTTGAATATGGATTTCTTGGATGATTTCTGTCTCATGTCTCACAAATTTCAAAGAATAATTTGTGAAAACCAAAAGGCAGGTAGAAGGGGCGGGGAAGACACTAATTCAGGTGAACACAGAGAAGAAGGAGGTGATATAAGTGTTCAACCATCATCAACAACAAAAATCAATCACTGTCAGAGGAAAACACCTGGAGGAAGTTATCTCCTTCGCTTGTCTCGGAGACATCACTTCAACTACAGGTAGCAGAAATGAAGATGTTAAAGCAGACCAAGATCAGGACAGAAACCATGATAAGTTGCTCATTACTGTGAAATAAGTTTTGAAATTCGCTGCATGCAGCAAGAGGAACAAGATCCACATTTTCAGCACTGACGTCAAGTCAGTCAGCGCTTATTCATGGTTCAGAAAATAAGCCCACTTGTCAACAAAAGCACAACCTACAGACTTTCACGAACAGATACTCTTTGCGTTGGATACTGAAGATAAGATGGCCGTTTGGAAAGGATAATCAGAGGGGAACACTGGCAATTATCGGACCGGCCAACAAGGTACTACCCACAAAATAAAAGGATGAAAATTAACACCACCAATACACTGAAGAGACCTTTAAGTAACACCCCACCCCATACCCTTCGGTGGAAACCAAGCGTTAAGTGACAAGTTAGACTTTCGAGGATGATATGCAGAGGAAATAAAAGCATGTGGGTCTTCATTGTTATTTCAACTTCTGGTACAGAGGCTTCAACGAGGTTAACGTGATATAATTCCAGTGGTTAGCAGCATAATGCAAGACACGTGTTTCATCCCTTACAGGACTTGTTAGATGGATGTGCCTCTATCTATCTCAGTGGTTGAAACTTTACTCACTTAGATGCAAGTATATCCAGATGACGATTCTTAAGGGGAACGAAAAAATGTTTCATAAATTCTGTTATCAAGCGTCAAAAATCAATTTATATATTCGGAATTAAGCAAGCGAAGTCCTGTGTCCATTTGTGGATCAAACTATGTGTTAATCAAATCATTAGTCCTATGAAAATTATTATGATGAAAAATCTTTAACTAAAAAATATCTTTTTAAATAATTTCATATCAAACGTTTAACTATTACTTACACTACAACAATCGAGAATCAGGAAGGCGAGAAACACATTCATCAACCTGAAACCAGTCTGGAAATCTTCGTCACTCAACCCAGCCAGCATCAACAACAAAATTCGGATTTTCAGTACAAACGTCAAGTCAGTCAGTTCTTCTATACGGATGGATCAGAAACTTGGCCAGTGTGTCACGAAGAATATTTCCAACAGCCTGTTGCAGACCTGTATCAACAACTAACTGTCTTCGCTGGCTCTATACTGAAGATCAGATGGCCGGAAAGAACAAGAACCAACAAGAAACAAACTATGGGAAGAAACAAAACAAGAACCAATCGCTCAACAAATATGCAGGAGAAAGTGGATATGGTTTGGACACTCGCTGGGGAGGCCACTGGCTGATATCGCTCGTCAGGCCCTCGAATGGAACGCGAAAGAGAAGTGACGAGGGTGACGTCCCAGGGTGACATTGGGGAGATCGTATGAAGAGGAGTTAAAACAGTATGGAGGCGTGCAGTTGAAGCCCTATATTCCACTAGGAACCCAAGGAAATAATAATAATATACCACAACAATACTGTACAAAATTATGCTTACCTGAGATTATAACTCTCCATGTTGTATTCAGTTCACAGTTCGTCTTCAGTCTTTTTGTATATATTCTCAAGTTGGAATTTAATCGACCAGTTGGTTCACTGGAATGTTTGCTGTGAGTGTTTATGGTCATTTGCTTGGTGTATTCATTGTGTTTTGATGATTTAAATGTTAAGCCATTTAGACAAATAGCAGTGTATAATAAGGAATGATTTTTACCTGTAAAAATTAAAATAAAAACAAAATTATATGATAATAATAATTTGCTTTATTCCAAAACAGTCCTTGTGATACAAAATGGAATTCTCAACATTTTTTACTACAGTATTGCATCCAGTTAGTACATTATCAAAGGTAAAGCTAAACAGTATTTGAAGGTGTTAGAAAAGTAGGTACTGTCATATTTACTGGCGTAAGCGAGAGAAAGAAACAAAGCAGCACACAACGGAAAAGAGAGAGAGAGAAAAGGAAAAGAAAGAAAGAAGATATGGCACCTATAAATGATATGAGTTGGAAAGACGAGGTCCGGTTGTTCTACTGACTATTTAATGAATTATAGGTGTCACGCCTAATGCTTTCTTTATCGCACAGAACACGAGCTAAGTAGGGTATGGTTGAGATATTGTACTTGCTGGTGCGAGCATATAGTTTTCTATATAGGCTTCAGGCTTTGCCTGATGAGATAGATGCAAGGGGAAAGTTGTGAGTGAAGAGGGAGGGTGGTGTGAGTTAGATAAAATGGATTTGGCCCATATTTCACATGAGTCCATGTGCCTGTCAACCAGAATATTAACAAGCTGGTTAAGTGGCACGTTGCTTATCCTGCTGACAACCTTTAACATCCTGCATAATATGTTATAGTGTTTCTTCAGTAGCCCGGGAAAAACTAAGGGGGAACAATAGAGAATAATAGGCAGAATGCGAGAGTTAACGAATTATAGGAGTAAGGGTTGGGTGTTATTTAGTAGCTTTGAAGAAGAAAAATCTATACCTTTCTAAGGTTTCAGGTCAGTAATGTTCCGAAATCTTCAATGGCGTTGTAGATAACGCTACATTGTTCGAAGCGATTAGTTATGGATTTGAGTCTCAATGGTAACGCAATTACTCACAGGGAATCACAGAGACCTCCAGCTGCCAGTCAGCATTGTTAAGAAATGCGTATCCTGGATTCAGCTGTAAGTCACCATCCACCAAGTAACCTCATTTACCTCGCCTAGTTTCATAGCAAATTCTAGGACAGGGGAAAGAGGGAAGGCTGAGCGTGAGGCTGGCTACCTTGGCCCAGAAAATCAATATACAATCGATGCAGAAATTCCAAACCTCAACCAAAATAGGAAGCAGTAGGCTCATCTGAAACAGTGAGAGAACTTATATACCAGTCTCATATCACTAAATTGACTATCTCCATGAAAATCGAGTTTTAAAACTATGTAACTGCTGCTGAGTGGAAATTATTTGGCCTGGCTGAAAAAGTTTCTATTCTTGAAGTAATTATTTTATTTCAGTTCAGTGGATGACATAAACGTGCGGTGTTATTGATAGTTAATTATATGTTTTATGTGTGGAAGAGGTGAGGTGATTTGTTTTAAATCAGCTTTTACAATAATAAAATATTACAGGCTAACCAAGTGTATTGAGCCACACCTATTGTCTGAGAACTAATGATACAACCTGGTTGCTCATTCATGCCTAGATAGGTCGAGAGGGGTTTAAACCTATGACCCAGTGACTGGAAAAGTAAACTGAAAAAACAATAAATGCTCATCGGGGTTATGATGCTAATATTGACTGTCTAATTTCACAGTTATATTGCATTTTCCAAATTATCTTCCACCTTATATTATTATTATTGTTCCCTTGTGTTCCTAGTGGAACATACGGCTTCAACTGCACGTCTCCACTTGCTTCTGTCTTCTGCTGTACTTTTCACCTGCTTCCATGTTAGTCCATACTGTTTCAACTCCTCTTTACACGATCTCCTCCATGTCAGCCTTGGACGTCTCACTCGCTGTTTCCCTTTCGGTTTCCACTGGAGCTATTACCTGACGCGCGATGTCACCCAGCGGCCTCCTCGACGATAAAGGTTGATAAAGGTCTGCAACAGGCTGTTGGAAATATTCCTTGTGACCCGCCGCTAAGTTTCTGATCCATCCGTATAGAAGAACTGACTGACTTGACTGACGTTTGTATTGAAAATCCGAATTTTGTTGTTGATGCTGAGTTGAGTGACAGCGGAAGATTTCCAGATTGGATTGGTTTCAGGTTGATGAATGTGTTTCTCGCCTTCCTGATTCTCGATTTGACATCCACATCCGTTCCACCTGCCTGTAGTTGAGACAATGCTGGTTGCCTAGATAAGTGAATGAAGTAACCTCTTTCAAATCCCTCCCTCCCGTTGATGGTGATTGGCGCTGGATGTTGCTGCTGCTGTTGTTGTTGTTGGTTGGTTATTTTCATAACCTCCATCTTGTCTATGTTCACCTGGAGTCCTGTCTTCTCCAGCTGCTTCTTCGACCAGTTTGTCGGTTTTCGCTTGTAAGTCTTCGATTTTGTGTGACATCAAACATAAATCATCCACGCGCAAAATCCAGGTCTTCTAGATTACTCACGTCGGTCTAGGATATCCCTGTCTTCTCGTTTCCTACTGTCTGACGCATAATCCAGTCCACCACAATTAGGAATATCATTGGTGATAATAAGCACCCTTGTCTGACTCCTGTGTTTACTCCAAACGCCTCGCTGAGTTTTCCGTTGTGGATCACTTGACATGTGCCGTTGTCGTACAGCTGTTGAATAAGGTTGATGAATATTTGGCTTACGCCGTAGTACTCGAGTAGTTTCCAAACTACTTCACGGTCAACGCTGTCGAAGGCCTTCTCAAAATCTTTAAAGTTGAGGTAGAGATTTGTTTGCCATTCCATGCTTTGTTCTGTGATGATGATGCGTAGAGTTGCAATTTGGTGAGAACATGATTTGCCTTTCCTGAATCCAGTTTGTTCTGGTCGGAAATCTGCATCCAGCGCGAAAATGCTTAAGTAGAATCCAATGTTGATAATGGTTCCATTCACATAATGAATGGTATTCAAATATTCATTAAAACGATTCTTTCTTTCACTTTAGGCTAAATCCCACTAAAATCATAATTTTTGAACATATTTAGATGACCAGCATTCCCAAGAACCTAAGAAAGGTACAGTTTGCAATCAGAAGGTCCTGGATTTGGGCCGTGGTGGGTGTGTACTGCTGGAAAGTTCCAAACTAGAAGGAAATAGCCTTCAAGTACTTCTCTAACTGAATCGATTTTAACAACTTTGGATCACTGATAAGTCGGATTATTTTTTAACATATGCTACCATTTAAGTACACTTAACAATGACGCACATCTTTTGTATGAGTGGCGGTGTAATTGTTCTTCTTGTCCAACTAAGGACCTAGTGTCAATAATTGAGGGAATGGATCACATTTCCATTGCTTTCTATCTTTCATGAGGCTTGAAAAATCCTTACATTAGAGGTAAATTTCATAATCAAGCTACTTAACTTTCCTTAAATTATATGTAATGGGTAAACCTATAGGTGAATATGATTTTCAAGGAAACATGTTGAACAAGTTCAGCATCATACAGTTTGCATACTCAGTATCATTACAAGACTTCAGTGTTTGTACTGAGACTTATTGAACAATTGGGCTATTGTTATTGATTAAAGTGCCTAATTAAGTAAAGTAGAATTACTCCAAGTACACAAACTAGAGGTCCATCATATGGTAGTGAGCTTATTTTCTCAGAAACAAAACTGATCTTCATATAACTATAAGGTACGCGGCGTTAGACGCCATATTTGTCAAGCTGATTGCCTTTGGGACTATCACAAGCAGATTCATCATTCCTCTTGTTAGCTGGGATCACCATAAACCAATACTACCTACATGGAACTAACTCAGATACACTACGTGGTCACCGAAGAATAATAATTATTATTATTGTTCCCTTGGGTTCCCAGTGGAACATAGGGCTTCAACTACACGTCTCCACTTGCTTCTGTCTTCTGCTGTACCTTTCACCTGCGTCCATGTTAGTCCATACTGTTTCAACTCCTCTCCACACGCTCTCCTCCATGTCACCCTTGGATGTCACACTCGCCCATTCCCTTTCGGGTTCCACTCGAGCACTGGCCTGACGCGCGATGTCACCCAACCAGTGGCCTCCTCAACCAGTGAGTGTACAATCCATCTCCACTTTCTCCTGCATATGTGTTGAGCGATTGGTTCTTGTTTTGTTTCTTCCCATAGTTTCTTGTTGGTTCTCGTTCTTTCCGGCCATCTGATCTTCAGTATAAAGCCAGCGAAGACAGTTATTTGTTGATAAAGGTGTGCAACAGGCTGTTGGAAATACTCATTCTTTGTGACCCGCCGCCAAGTTTCTGATCCATCCGTATAGAAGAACTGACTGACTTGACTGACGTTTGTATTGAAAATCCGAATTTTGTCGTTGATGCTGAGTTGAGTGACAGCGGAAGATTTCCAGATTGGATTGGTTTCAGGTTGATGAATGTGTTTCTCGCCTTCCCGATTCTCACTCGATTTGACATCCTCGTCCGTTCCACCTGTCTGTAGTTGAGACAATGCTCCCTAGATAAGTGAGTGAAGTAACCTCTTTCAAATCCCTCCCGTTGATGGTGATTGGCACTGGATATGGCTGCTGCTGTTGTAGTTGTTGTTGGTTGGTTATTTTCATGACCTTCGTCTTGTCTATGTTCACGTGGATTCCTTCCTGTCTTTGTTGCTTCTTCGATCAGTTTGTCGGTTTTCGCTAACCTCGCCTAGATTACTAGGTCACTAATATTCTAGCCGGTCCCAAGCCCGGATAAAGAGGGAGTGTTGGGGTGTGGTGCTAGCAGCTCCACCTCCAAAACCTAACCAAATTGCTACAAAAACTTCAACGCAAAAACATATTAAAAATTCTAAAAGTACCAAAGAATAAGCAAGGGTTTTATTCCCGCCGTTTGAGTTGGTTCTGACTGAATTGCATCAGTGAAGTTAACAATATGTTTGCCAGCTCAGTACATCTTGAGTTGGTCAGCAGGGCGTCAAGTGTCTTTTTTTACATGGAATTGAGGTTTACTCTTAAATCAGAGAATTGTCCACATGTGAACTCGTAATATAGATAATCTATTAAGGAATTTCATTGAAGTCATCCCTAAACACCTCTAGGGTAACAC